TACCACTACTGTGCATGTGTGTCAAGGACAGAAAGGCAGATGTGGCAGTGGAAGGTGTCAAAGCAGTTTGGAGAGAAAAACAAAGCCAAGAACAAAAAGAAGAAAAGAAAACGATTAATCGATTATTAAATTAGTCATAGATTATTTTAATAGTCGATTAATCGACTAATCGTGGCAGCCCTAACCACAGGACATCAAAACTGATGCTTTAATCTTAGAAAGAAACTTCAAACACGAGTCACTTTTCCCCATAAAACTAAATTTCAGCTGTGAGGTGATCTGAGAGATGCTCGAGAGAAAAAGGACTGACTCTGGAAAAGGGAGTAGAGATGCACCAAATACTCTGCCTGGCCAGATAAATCGTAAATCAGATCTTTAAATGGTCGGTACTGACAAATTCAACATTTTTTCAGTCTGTGATTTCCCCATTGATGCAACTTGGGCCTTATTTTTAATTTAATTTATCATAATAAATTTATTATTTGGATACATAAGGTCTGTAATGCACTGCCGTTAAAAAAAAAAACTACCGTAAGTTCATTAAATTTGCTTATGGTCAGTATTTGTTATAGTTGATTGCTAAAATGCAATTTACCAATAGGGTTACTTCACTGTAAAAAAAATTGGTATGAACAGGTCAGGGCTACTCGAAAATCAGGCATCGGCCCACAAAACCGGAATCTATGCATTTCTACATTACAGAAACGCCTTTGTGTGTTTTTAATTATCATTTGCAGCACAGAAAACCATTGCTCACACTGATAAATACAGAGATAATTAAACAGCTGCTGGACAACAGAGTCAATATCACTTCGCCTGAAACTTTATTAACTCGTTTCCTTTCAACTCAGATGAGCAAGAGCTTTAAACTTAATTATCTTGTTATCAAAGTCGACAAATAACCATGTGAATGCGACATGAAGACTGTTCAGTTTTAAATGAACGCACTTCCTCTCAGCACGTAGCTGCAGGAGAAACTGGAAAGCTGCCTTCATAACACGTGTCTAATGTTTGTTAAACTGCCCTGAGTATTCAAACAAACAAAAGCACAAGTTTAATCAACCAATCAGACTCAGGATTGAAGGCGGGGAATGTTTTCCTTGTAAAAGTTTTCTAGCTGACATGTAGACTGGATTAATATAGGAATTGTAGATAATGATCTACCTGCTTCAGCTACTATGAAAGTAGCAACAAGTTGATGACCACAAAGACTTGGTTTAATAAGGCCATTCATTAAACAGGCTAACATTTAGAGCTCTTTCCTTCCTTGATTTGCTGGTTGTTGCAAGCAGTAGAAAATAAACCCAGATCTAATTACTGTACTTTTTTCTAGAGACAAATAACCCAAAACAGCCTGCTCATTCATCACAAAGGTTCATTTAAAATTAAATGGTTTTTGATAATTTATTACAAATTCACACAAAATACAACCAAATATCTAGAGAAAACTAATGTAAACAAATCTGCTCAAAGAACTAATCTATCCATCATCTTGATCTCTTCTCTGTTAACGGTCACAGGAAGCTGCCGCCCGTCTCCAGCTGTCATTATACAAAAGAACAGTGTGCACCCTCGACAGGTCACCAGTCCATCACACAGTCTCAGAGACAAACAACCATTTATGCTCTCACACACACATAATGACAATTTAAAGTTACCAATTAACCTAACACATTCAGATCCCAAATCACAGCAGAACATCCTGTTTGATGAAAAGAAACCTCAACTTGTTGCTGCGGCAAAAAGCTCCAAACCAACAGCTAATCCTATAAGGAGACTCTGGTTCTTCAAGCTGAGCAAATATGTGACAGAGACTAAATGAGCTGAATCATCTGACCTAGACATCTCAGGAACGCAGAGTGAAGGGATGAAAGTGAGCCTGTGCCTACCTGATACGACATGTTGCTGGTAGTTGTAAGAGCTTGGAATTGCACCGACTGGAAGAGAGGCTTTGGGATTCCCCGGCTGCGTTTCTTCATCGTCCTCACCGAAATGGTGGACTTTCTCATACTTCTCCAGATATCTGTGAGAGGAAAGAGGGAGGATTTAGGAACAGGTGGGCAATGAGATGGGAGTTCTTTGCCGCACGTTCTGGAGTGAAAGACTGAATGTATCCTGTTTYATACAGTTTCTTTTTTTATGAGCACAAATTTTGTTTAGATGTTGTGTTCTTTCCATTGCCATCATTGTGATCAAAACAAATCAGAAATGTCTCACAAAACCTTAAGGTTCAACAGTACACACACAAGTCACAATTTGCTAATTACCTCTGTATTAGAGCCACGTTKTGGCATGAGTTGTTTAAAAACAAACAAAAAAGAAACATAACCCACACACCTGTGTTTAAACAACAGAACTTAATTTAACAGATAGAAAACAGGAAGTGCAATTCTGCATCAGGTACCAGGGGCATGGGACTAAGAGTTTAATAGTTTGAGTAAAAAACCTGAAGCWAAATTATTACGATAAAAGTTGGCAGTTACTAGTGTTTTACCTGTTTTGTGTTTGCAAAGTTAACTTTTAATTAGTGGATTAGCGTTTAGCAAAGCTTTTGGTTAGAAGTGTCCACCACTGGTATTCACCTGACTGTAAACAGTGCCCCCACCAGGCTGTGTGTCAAACAAAAAATATATATAAATGCCAAAATAGTATACCTCATTCTGTCCTTTTTATCTTTCCATACATCCTGAATCCACAAAACTTTTCCACAAGGTTATTTGAAACAAACAGACAAGTCTTTAAACACCTGTGTTTGATTTGGATTCGAGTGTTCTGTGAGGATCATCTTCTACTCCTCCTCCTCCTCACAAAATGCTAAATAAATAAACCATTCATTCTAGATGAAAATGGTGATCATAAGTGATCTAGTTCGTTCCCATGACAAGTCTGTACAAATATGTGCACCAATAATAATTAAAATAATAATAATAATAAAAACAAAAACAACAACAACAATAATATATTAACTATAACAACAACAACAAAATAATAATAATAAAAACAAAAACAACAACAACAACAACAATAATAATGTGTGATTCTAAATAAAACTCTGTAGCTCCAAGTCAGGAAAATAAATTCTATTAAATCAACTTCAATCTTCAGCTGTCTAAAGGATAAAAAATGTAAAGACATTTTATAAATCCAYTGTGTGATAAACCAAAGTATTTAAAAACAGCAACAGTATTGTTTTAAACACTGTTCATATTGACTGTGCTCATTTAAATCAAGCTATATGAGTTTAATGTAGTTCTGTTTGTTTACAAGGAGTGTACTTCCTGTAAAMGCTTCTTCTGCTGCTGATATCCCTGCAGTTTAGCTGTAGTTTCTCTGTAGCGACACCTCCTGTTCATAAGGAGAACTGCAGGAAGTGAAAAACGTATGTTCTACTGTTAATAATAATTCCTTAAATGACTGATATCTTATAAATTACATCAACTATCAAAATAAGCTGATGCTTCCATTCCATGTGGCTACAATTTAAAAAGTTGAAAAAAGTGAAGTTGGACAGCTTGTTTCAAAGGTGGCAGAAACGCAACACGGTAAAATCAGAAATATTAAAATACCCCAAAATATACAGTAATAAAACAACAYCATAAGCACTTTTAGACAGATGGTGAACCATATGTTACAGTATAATATTATACTGTATTCACAAAAATGGATCATGTCCAAACCTGGTGCATWTGGTCCAAAATAGACCTGCAGCAGTTCTGTTTTCTACAGTCATAACTGTCCACAGGTTAGTGTTTAATGTTGAAGCAATACAGCCTTCCAATTATGACAGTACTGGTAAATATTTCATACTAAATGTTACGGACTRAACTTTTTCTCACCGATTTCACAGTTAAAGACAACTCTTACAGCAAGGCTTCAATACTTCCAAGTCATTTCCTGTAGATCAACTCATGTAGACTCATCWGAAATTTCCAAAAATTACAAACACTCTAGCTCTTTCAAGGATGTTTCTCCAAGAACATAAAGCTGCATTCCTTCCCCTCACAGCACCGAGGAGAAATAAGACCTGCTCCACAGCCAGGCAGCAGAAATACCTCCTCAGCAGCAGGCGTAGTGGTGCTGAAGTCAGCCTGTGTGGCCGTGAGTCACCGAGTGGCTGCCTGCTTCTGAATTAGGCTCTGCTTGTTCATCGTGGCCGAGGTAATCCCCCGCTCGCTGGCTGCCGCTCTGCACGCTGGCCTATAAATACACTCTGCCATCACTCGTAGAGAGGGAGAGAGCGAGAGTGTGTGAGCATGGGAGGGAGAGATAGGGCTCCACGGCAGCGT